GACGATCTGTAACACGGAGCTATGAATGACTAAACTCACTGACGATGCCGGCGAAACGTCTGGGAATGTACCACGTCCACAGTCCGGCTTTGGAAATGATTGTGCATACAATGGACTCCGGACAATGTGCGTTCCTCTAAGTCTTCCTACCAATATGACCGAGTTGCGAAAAGAAAGTCAAACAACTTCTATATAACCAAAGGAGACTGCGACCACACAAAAGGTCACACCATCTTGGTCTTCATATATTCTTAATATACTTATTTTAATTTCTATATTTGTTCCGCCTATTTAACACACGCGCAAACGTTCGTTTTATTAACTTCCAGACATCAATATCAACACTGTCACTCGGGAAGACTCCTGCCAAACTGCAGTTTCCGGCAATAGCATTGGTGCTGCCATCTTAACAGTCTCAGAGCCTTCCTCCTCGGTTGCCGCTGTAATCACTGAATCAAGTGACGAAGAGACAATCTCTGTCACTGCGGCTGAAGTTGATATTGATCATTCTAGCTTTGCGCACATCAACGAACCAAGTTCTCCTAATTCCAGGCGATCACATCAGCAAGCCTCCTTGACTCCCAAGGGAACGGCAACTGCTCGCCAGCCCCCTGGCAAGCCATCTGGATCATCTGAATTCAGCTCTACTCCTACAGAACATACTGCGGTTTTAGCACCTCCGGTTAATTTGCAACCGCCACATCCATCTCCTTTCTCGCACCTTCACTTAGTCAACGTACCCGTGGCCGCTCTCGTCGACCTACTTTTACGACCGACTCCAGAGCTCTCTAACGAGCAGCTTATCCAGATGATACAATTGACTATCGATGCCGTCCAACATCGAATGAAAAGTGAGTAGATTCTATTGCTTATTTTTATTTATATTATCACATAGTAATAATCGCCTTGTGTCTATTTAAAAGGCCTGATTGATACCCAAACCGTGATTCAGCCTGGCTGATAATGCATTTTTGTATTATATCGTATCATGAACAGGTTGACCCTCATTTCCTGATCCGCTAAGATTCAACGATGTACCTCCACTTCAACATAATTGCCACTTTTTTTTCATACATTCATTTGTATAACTTCATCTTTGTTAAATGCGGTGGCGTTCATGAGCATATTTATAGTGTTAAAGATATTAATTTTCATGGAGCGGCCCTTGAATTTATTGCTTTTAATATTTTTTGGATGATGTTATTGAAAATTCTGCTTATTTTATTAGTTTTGATGATTAATAGCTTTTTGAGACTGAAATTTTCATAGTTGTCTTCAGAGGTTGATTTTTGTGGTATTGCAAATTAGATATAATAATAAACAGGGTTTCAATGAATCAGTGCTAGATTAACTTTTTTCTTGCTCAAGTGTGTGGTAAGGTCCTCGGGTCAACCTCATCTAAAGACAATTGTGAATTTTGGCTGGACCTTTAGGCTATTATAGTAACAAGACAATTTTCCGGCTGGTGAAACCTTGATGAAATTTGGTTATTCGTGTAATAGACACTGTCTTCCCCAATAGTTGATAATGTTGGACAAGTCATATTCACAGGCTGGTCAAGCCATGTTGAGGTGATATTTGAACGTATATAAGAGCCAAAAGAAAATATTAAAACTACATTTAATAGTGCCATTAAGTTGTTTGATTGGGAGATAATTGACGAAGTCAAAAATTATTTAACTTCAAGAGATGTTAGGGCTCCCACTGCTTTTGATCCCCATACATTTTACGGGGAAATATTTTATTTAAAACTATTGACAGGATTCCTAAATTTTGCCTCTTCCCCTCGGATTGCTAAAACTAGGTCCATGATGCTATTCAACCTCTAAAATCTTCCTTTGAGGAATGCCCATATATTGTCAAAAATAGAAGTTTGCTTCGATTAGTTTTTAACTCTTGTTCGCCTTTTCTCTTGTCTCCAGTATTTCGCACCACATTGTGCCTAAGTTTATGTTCACACACACTTTATGACCATTTTAAATTTCGTTTTTATTTAAGTAGTCTGTTGGTGTTCCTGTCTTGAAGTAGCTTTATGAATTTTGTGTGATATGATGATTTAGGAAATGTGAATAGCCCAGGGCAGAATTGGGGATACCACAACTGTTTAGCACACATTTGGTCAAAGGATCGGCTTCACTTGTCTCTTTGACGAGTTGTTGAATGGTGCTAAGAATGGCGAGACTCACTGACGATGCTGACTACGATACCGGCGAAACGTCTGGGAATGTACCACGTCTACGGTTCAACTTTGAAAATGATCATGCAAACAATGAACC